GTTTGTTAATCTTGAACGTAAAGAATGTTTGTGCATCTTGGTGTATGTTATTTACTTGTAATCTTGAAACGCTTAAAGATGTTTGTGATCTCGTATGTTTAAGTAAAGAGTTTGATGAATCTTGTATGTAAGATGTTTGTAATCTTGAACGTAAAGATGCTTGTGATCTTTGTATGTTAGATGTTTGTAATCTGAACGTAAAGATGTTGTGATTCTTGTAGTTCGTGTTTGTAATGTAAGATGTTTGCGATCTTGTATGTTAAAGTGTTTGTATACTTGAACGTAAAGATGTTGGATCTTGTATGTTAAGATGTTTGTGATCTTGAACTAAAGATGTTGTGATCTCGTATTGTTAAGATGGTTGTTAATATGAACGTAAAAGATGATTTGTGAATCTTGTATGTTAAAGATGTTGTTAATCTGTGTTAAGATGTTTGTATCTGAAGAAAGATGTTGGATCTCGTATGTTAAGATGTTTTGTAATCTTGTGTGGTTAAGAGTTGCTCTCGTCTGTTAAGATTTTGTATCTTGAACGTAAGAATGTTTGTTGATCTGCCCTCGTATGTTAACGAATGTCTTGTAATCTTGTGTGTTATATGTTGTGATCTCGTATGTTTAAGATGTTGTAATCTTGACGTAAATGATGTTGTGATCTCGTAGTTAAGATGTTTGTAACTTGAACGTGAAGATGTTTGTGATTAGTATGTTAAGATTTTTGTAATCTGAACGTAAAAGATGTTTGTGAATTTGTATTAACAGATGTTTGTTAATGCTTGAACGTAAAGATGTTTGTGATCTTGGTATGTTAAGATGTTTGTAATCTTCGAACGTCAAAGGTTTGTGATTTTGTATGTTAAGATGTTTGTAATCTTGACGTAAAGTGTTTCTTTGTAAGATGTTTGGATATCGTATGTTAATTTTTATCTTGTTTTAGATGTTTGTATCTGGTATTAAATGTTTTAATCTTGAACGTAAAGATGTTTGTGATCTTGTATGTTAAGATGTTTGTAATGTCGTGAATCTGTAAGATGTTGTGGATACTTGATGTTAAGAATGTTTGTAATCTTTGAACGTAAGCTATGATTGCGATCTTGTAGTTAAGATGTTTGCTATTTGAACGTAGATGTTTGTGATCTTGTATGTAATGTTTGGTAATTCTTGAACGTAAAGATGTTTGTGACTCGTATGTTAGATGTATTGTAAATTGGAACGGTAAAGATGTTTGATCTTGTATGTTAAGATGTTTGTAATCTTGTGCGTTAGATGTTTGTATCTTGAACGTAAAGATGTTTGTTGATCTCGTATGTAAGATGTTTGTAATTTGTGTGTTAAGATTTGTGAAACTCGTATGTTAGATGTAATCTTGAAGAAATTGTTTGTGATCTCGTATGTTAAGATGTTTGAATCTTGTGTTAGATGTTTGTGATCTCGTATGTTAAGATGTTTGTAATCTTGAACGTAAGATGTTTGTGTATCTTGTATGTTAAGATTTTGTGATTCGTATGTTAAGATCTTGTATGTTGAATGTTTGTAAGGTAAAGAAATGTTTGTGATCTGTATGTTAAGATGTTTGTGAATCTTGTAATGTTAAGATGTTTGTGATCTCGTAATTAAGATGTTTTGATACTCGTTGTTAGATTTTGTAATCTGTTGTTGTGATCTTGTACGTTAAGATGTTTGTATGTTAGATGTTTGTAATCTTGAACGTAAAGATGGTTTGTATCTTGACCGTAAAGATGTTGTGTGATCTTGTATGTTAAGATGTTTGTGAGATGTTGTTTTAATCTTGAACGTAAAAGATGTTTTATCTTGAACGTAAAATGTTTTGTAATTGTACGTCAAGATGTTTGTGATCTTGTATGTTAAGATGTTTGTAAATCTGAAACGTAAAGAATGTTGTGATCTTGTATGTTAAGATGTTTGTAATCTTTGTTAAAGATGTTGGTATCTTGTATGTTAAGATGTTTGTGGATCTGTATGTTAAGATGTTTGTAATCTTGAACGTAAAGATGTTTGCGATCTCGTATGTTAAGATGTTTGTGATCCGTATGTTAAGTGTTTGTAATCTTGAACGTAAAGATGTTTGTCGTAATGTTTAAGGTATTTATGTTAAGATTGTTGTAATTTGAACGTAAGATGTTTGTAATCTTGATAAAGATGTTTGTGATCTTGTATGTTAAGATGTTTGTAATCTTGAACGTAAAGATGTTTGGGATCTTGTATGTAAAGATGTTTCCGCCGACAGCCATTTTTTGGCGGGAAAATTCGCTTTCATATTAGATTTAATGGCAAGTAAATTTCGCGATACGACATCTATCATGCAGAGGGTAAGATCCTTTTACTTTCCTTATGATATAAAAGGTTTATAATCTGTAGAAAAAAATATGAATGAGAATGAATATCTTCGCAATAACAAGAGATATGCATTTAACCGGTTTCAAAGAAATTATATCTTGTGAAGATATTTATTTTCATTCATACCTTGTCTACATTTATCGCAAGTATTAGTATTTATTTTTTAGAATCTTTTTTTGCGATGTGAGGAATATAGATCTTGATGATAAAAGGAAAACGAAAAAAGAAAAGCGAGAGAGAGAGAGAGAGAGAGAGAGAGAGAGAAGAGAGAGAGAGAGAGAGGAGAGAGAGAGAGAGAGAGAGAGGAGAGAGAGAGAGAAGAGAGAGAGAGACGAAAGAGAAAGAAAGAGAACGAAAGAGAAAGAGAGAGAAAGAGTAAGAGAGAGAGTAAGAGTAAGAGAAAGAGAAAGAGTAAGAGTAAGAGAGAGACACAGACAAAAAAAAACAAAAAACCCAAAAAATACGACAAGTATATGAAAAAGTGAGATGAGCTAATGGTATGTAAACCTTCGTTGTTTTTTTTGTCTGTGGGAAAAGGAGATTCAAAAAACGACAAATAACAAAAAAAAAAATGGTTTTGTGTATTTGGGAAACACTTTTGGAAGAGAAAGGCTTCGCTGCGCGCGGTTGTAAATTAAATCGTCATTATCATCAGANTCCTATACACTAAGTTTGCATATAGATATATTTAAGATACTAGATATAGGTCTTTTGTGAGTCAATGCAGAATAGTAATATGTAAGATGCCTTTCTATTTTTAAGCAACCTATTTCTATCATTTGAATGAAATATAGTGTAGCTATGATAATCTATATTTGTTATAACATTTCTTTTAGGTTTAATTAATGGACAGACTTGTTATATGTTCTTTTTAATGTGATGATGCAAGATAAACATCATGTTGAGTTGTGGACAGGAGAATCATATTACTATTTGATTTGAGATATTCTCCATTTTCTTGTTCCGTACAGGTTCTCCTTGGTGGTGATGACCATGATCAGAGGCATCACAGCCAGGTAAATATGAATTGGTTTCTTTTTGAGAGAG